AAAATCCTTGCACCGGCTCTGATCCTGGGCAGGTGCACCAGTCTACTTGACTGGTTTTGCCCCCCAGGCCGCTGGGGAGGTCTTTTGGCGGCCGCTGGCGGACTTGTCCTGGCGGCCGCTGAGGGAGCTGCGCTGGCTCTGTTCCCCAGCATGCAGCTGAATGAGACCGGCGCCGGAATATGACGTCATATTCCGGCGCCAGTCTCATTCAGCAGCGCGCGAGGGCGGGAGGGCACTAACACAGGAAGCACCTCTAGTGACCGTCTGAGTGACTATCACTAGCAGTGTCACTTTGAAGCAATGTAAACACTGCCTTTTGTCTGAAAAGTCAGTGTTTACGTTGAAAAGCCTGTAGGGACATGCTATAGACACCAGTACCACCACATTAAGCTGTGTGTGTGCGTCTGCTAGTGAGTGAGCTTGCTTGCATGCGTGTGCCTGCTAGTGAGTGAGCTTGTGTTTTTATGTCAATGAGCTGATGTATATCAGTAAGATTGTTTGTCTATGAGGCTGTGTATCAATGAGCTTGTGTGTGTCACTGAAATGTCAGTGAAATTGCCTGTGTCTGCATGTGCGTATGCTTACTGTATAATTAAACGTTTTACCCTGAAAGGACCAATATTTTATATTAGAAAAAGCATATATATATATATATATATATATATATATATATATTACTCAATCATCTGTCCTGGCAAGACATAGCCTTACATATTACACGCGACAATATATGGCGCAGTGACTTATGGGGCTGGCACAAATTTTTTTTCCAGGGCTGCTTTGTATCCCCAGTCCGGCCCTGTTTTCATAATACACACAATTATTTTTTATGTTCTGTGTTTCAATCTATTCAAACTTTAGAAGCTATATAAGTTGCCTGCATTTGAAAATATAACCCGTATAAACATGTACGTTACCACAGTACTAAAAAAGTTTATCTCATCCTCTCTTTATCTCATTTTCATTATTTTATTTTCATTACCCTTCTTAAGCTAGAGAAAGTGTTTGAATTTAGTTTCAGCAAGTCACTCCATGTTTATTTGCTGGAACTCAGGAAAGTCAAGCAGCAATTTAAACTAAAAAAAAAGATTTTATATTTTTGGCAGTTTTTTAATACCATGCATCAATATAGCACTACTATAATATTAAAGGCATCATTACATAGTGCCATTTATGATGACAACATATTTACAGCACAGGGTGCAATGCTGTCTGCAGCCCCACTGGGTATAAAGCTTGAACAAATATATGCCTGAACAACCAGGCACGCAGGGCTAGCTGCTAATGCCCTTTTCATTTGCCCAGAAGGGCAGGAAATTCTGCTCTAAGACTTGGGCCAATCTCGCATTCCTATCGGCAGAGCCCTTGCTGCTATGCCAAAAACCTCAAAAACCCTAAACTGGGTCTAACAAAGAAACGCGGGATATTGGTGCCCTACTGCAGCGGCCCTCGAGCCCCAAGATGTCGGCCGACCATGAATCGGAACCTGGCCCAACCAGCTCAGAGCCAACTCCAGAGAGGCAAAGAGACTCCCATCAGCCTCAGCCACTGCGTGAACCACAAGCTAAAGAGGATGACCTGGCCCCAGCCACAAAATGTGACACAATGCAGCTGATAAGAGAAATTAAACAAATGTTTGACACAGACATGAATATGGCTCGGATGGAAATAAAAGCAGTGACATTTAGAGTCCAGGCCACAGAATAAGACATACTGGACATTCGCCAAGAAGTTAAAATATGGGGGACACCCTATGCCAAATGCAGTCCACCAATTTTGTGATCCAACTTCAGTAAGACACCAAGGAAGACTGTAATCACTGGACAAACATAAAAATTCGGGGGATACCGGAATCGGTAGGCCCGGCCGAACTGCCAAGGAGCCTGGCGGTGGTCTGGCAACGACACTGTTCTAAAGCTCACCTCCATATTGAAGCTCAGTCCTTCCTGCAAGCAGTGGGACTCTTACCTGGCACAGGGCTCCAATAACTTCCACCTCAGCATCCCACACATGGGACCCAGAGAGAACTGTCCCATACACTCCCAGAGGCAAATGGTGCAAAGCGGCTGTAAGCTGACCAGACACCTCATTGACACACCCTGGCAAACATATTTCTGCTAATTCCTCTATAATTTATGTTTATGTTAATGCCTATTGTGATGGTTACCCCTATAGAGTGGGGGTATTTACCGTTTGGATGTCCTTCTTCCCAGAATTGGAGAACGCTGCAGGGCTCCAACTCTATATCCTGAGGAGCTGGTAGAGCGGGCTCCCTCCTCCAGGAGGGTATAGCTGGGTCTCTTCCCAGGAGAGTATAGTGGTATAGCTGAAGGGAGCTAGTAGTGAAGGAACAAAAACCACCATAACTGCTGCAAACCGAAGAGGGGTTTTGTTACACCTATGTTCTGTTTATGTTCTTTTAGTTAATTAAGAGTTAATTAATAGCGTACTGGCATAGTTCAGCACCCATAAAGTGCCAGTGATTTTTACTTGGCCATATCAACCACCCGTGATCCCCTAGATTAGGGGTCATTCCTTGACTTCGCTTAGAAGCGATTGATGTATTACAGGACATCTCCCCCACCTTGCTTTCACCCCGATGGTCCAGCCACGATGATACAACCGGTGGGTCAAATTGGTTCTTTTACCTTTTACTCATTACAGTTTATAAGTCCATGCTGGTACGGTTCCCTGCAGAGGCGTGCAAGTCTATCACTATCTACACAATTAGTGAATTAACCCCCATTGTTGCCTAGACCTTGATACATACCACATCGAAGGGACTATCACTTATTTTTTCCATGTTTAGTTTTTATTGAGTTTTTGCATAGGTATTAAAAAAGAGAATGGGATACAGAAAGAAAAACGGGGAGGGGTGGATAATTACAATCTTTACATCACAATTCCATGTATAGTCAACTTGGTCATTTTATATAATGGGTAAAATATACATTCTGTGCTATACAGCGTAATAATAAAATTCAAGATATTAATGTGCATGGTGTTGATGGTAACATTACCTTTTGCATCTGGAGCTTGAGTCAGGTGAGTGCAGGGGCGGACTGGCAGGTCAGGCAGATCTGTCGTAGACCGAGGGCCAGAGCCAGTCAGGGGCCCGGCAGGACAGCCATGCTCTGGCTGGGGAGATCTATCTTTGATCTTCCCAGACAGAAAGCAGTAATTCCTCCCTCCCATATTTCAAGTGAAGTGTCCCCCCCATCCCTTCTGAGTTAGAACTGGCAGCCATCCTGCTCTGCCAGGCCTCCTCCGTGCTGTACTCTGCATGAGAAGGGAAGAGGCAGGGCCGGTGCATAGGAAGTGAAGTCACTTCCTGTGCTCACTCTTCTGTCCTGCGGAGTTCTGAAGATTAGGAGCAACCTTGCAGAGACCAGGTATGTGCTTTGTTAATATTTTATACTTCCCTCCCTGTATCTATCACAGCCAGGGCTGGCGCTACCTGTAAGGCAGACTAGGCAGCCACCTAGGGCGCCCCTTGGGAAGGGGCGCCGCCAGGAGCGCCGGCCCTGCCATGCTGCAGCCGCCCGAGCGCTCTGTAGAGAGCCTCAGGCGGCTGCAGTTTTGCCCGGGCGGTGCGTCCATGAGGGCGGACCGCACCGCCCGGGCGCAGCATGGGGAGAGGGGCTGACAGGAGGGAGCGCTCAGCGCTCCCTCCTGTCACTCCCTCTCTGTAGCGTGGCCGAGCCCTGTATGATCCGCGGGTACAGGGAGCATCTGTCTCCTGTACCCGGACGGACTAACAGGAAGTGCACACTGAGTGTTCACTTCCTTTTAGTCCTGCCGGGTACAGGAAACAAAAGCTCCCTGTACCCGCGGATCATACAGGGCTCGGCCACGCTACAACAGAGGTAGGGGAGGATGGGGGGAATAAATGGACGGGGAATAAAATGGACAGGGAAGGGGGAGGAATAAAATGGACAGGAGGGGGGGAATAAATGGACAGGGAAGGGGAATAAATGGACAGGGGGATAAATGGACAGGAGGGGGAATACATGGACGGGGAACAAAATGGACAGGGGAATAAATTTACAGGAGGGGAGGAATAAATGGACAGGGGGGGGAATAAATGGACAGGGGGGGATAAATGGACAGGCAGGGGGGGGATAAATGGACAGGCAGGGTGGGGGAATAAATGGACAGGCAGGGTGGGGGAATAAATTGGGGGGAAAGGGGAAAAATAAATTGACAAGGTGGGGGGGAAGAAATTGACAGGAGGGAATTGACGGGTTAGGAGGGGAATGAGAGTGGGGAGGGGAGAAGAGAGTTACAACGGGGGAGACGAGAGTAACAAGGGAGGGGGGAGAAGAGAGGGACACGCAAGGGAGAAGAGAGTGACAAGGGAGGGGGGGAGAAGAGATGGACAAGGGGGGGAGAAGAGAGAGACAAGGGGGGGAGAGAAGAGAGTGACGAGGGAGGGAGAGGGGGAGAAGAGAGTGACAAGGGAGGGGGGAGAGATTGACATCCATCACACACACTCAATGCACCCCTTGCACACAGAAAAACAAACAATGCATTACACACACAGACACACACACAAGCAATTCAACCCTTACACACAATGCATCCCTTACACACACAGAAACACACAATGCATTCCTTACACACACTCAATGCACCCCTTACACACGCACACACTGCATCCCGTACATACATAGAAACACACATTGCAGCCCTTACACATACAAACACAGATTCACACAATGCATTCCTTACACACATATCAGGACATCCCCTACTCCTGTGAACAAACTAATTGGTGGAACATGAAGGTGGACCCTGGGGCCCAGACCTTGAGATGTGTAAAGGGCCTTAAAAAAATGGAGCTGCTTCCCATTCTCCCAGAACACAAACAGCCTCCAGAGAGCCTGTTCTACACCAGACGAGTGGAACCAGATTGCAGCTAGAGCCCATCACCATCCTCATATGCTTGTAAGTAGGCAATCTAGTATATTATTCGTGGTACGAATCTCTAATTTACCTCACATTAAAGAAACACTATAGTCCACAGAACCACTGCAGCTTAATGTAGTGGTTCTGGTGTCTATAGCCTGTCCTTGCAGGCCTTTTAATGTAAACACGGCGGCACTGCAGCACTTGCGTTAGTTAACATGGGGCATTGTGATGTCATATGGGGGGGCGGCAAACTTTACTTTTGCCTAGGGCAGCAAAAATCCTTGCACCGGCCCTGATCACAGCTCCCCCTCCCTCCATTATACCCTGCACAGCCCCCCTCCCTCCCTGTATCTATCACAGCCCCCCTCCCTCCATTATACCCTGCACAGCCCCCCTCCCTCCCTGTATCTATCACAGCCCCCTCCCTCCATTATACCCTGCAGAGAGCCTGTTCTACACCAGACGAGTGGAACCAGACTGCAGCTAGAGCCCATCACCATCCTCATATGCTTGTAAGTAGGCAATCTAGTATATTATTCGTGGCACTAATCTCTAATTTACCTCACATTAAAGAAACACTATAGTCCACAGAACCACTGCAGCTTAATGTAGTGGTTCTGGTGTCTATAGCCTGTCCTTGCAGGCCTTTTAATGTAAACACGGCAGCACTGCAGCACTTGCGTTAGTTAACATGGGGCATTGTGATGTCATATGGGGGGGCGGCAAACTTTACTTTTGCCTAGGGCAGCAAAAATCCTTGCACCGGCCCTGATCACAGCTCCCCCTCCCTCCATTATACCCTGCACAGCCCCCCCTCCTGTGGCCTAATACTACAGCCTCCCTCCATTATACCCTTCTGCACAGCCCTCCCTCCCTGTATCTATCACAGCCCTCTCCATTATACCTCCTGCAATGTTTCCCTCCCTCCTGTATCTACTACAGCCCCCACTTCCATTATAACTCCGTGGCCAGCCTCTTCTCCTCCTGTATCACAGCTCTCCTCTTATATAGCTATACCTCTTCTGCACAGCTCTCCATCCCTGTATCTATCACAGCTCCCTGTTACAAAAGACTGGAAATAACTATGTTACTGTTTAATAACCAATGGATACTGTTTGAAACTGTATAAGTTTAAGCCGAAAGAAACACAAATGGATTCCTCGAACCATTATAAAGACTCCATTCGTGGTACGAATGGGTGACCCCCCAGATGCTGGCATGTGTGGCCATTTAACCCCGTCACCCCGCAAACTACCGAACGGTCGACCACCCGGCCAGCGGCATGTGGCAGCCATTAACCACCCAGGCGGCTGCGGTTTGCGGTTAACCACAACCTAATTGATAGGACTGGGGGCATCGACATTCGCACCCAAAGTACCGAACGGAATCTACCAAACCATCAATCGAACGGCGACCCCCTACAGCGGGTCGCGTGGCGATCATTAACTTGTGGTTTCTGCGGTTAACCGCAGGTCAAGTACCCCTCTACCAGGTGGTCCTCGTTCATGTACCGAACTAGTTCCACTACCAGATGGACAGCGGGGCTTCGCATGAACCGGTACCCGAGTTTAGTTCCATGAGTTAGAAGCGAGGTCCCGCTGCCCGCTAAACCATCAGAAAACATGGCCGCCAACAGAGACTCACAATACAAAATGCCGAATGGACTTTATACGGCAGAAACAGTCCATTCTGTTCGTGGGATTGTAGCGCCATTCGCATGTTTAATATATACGAACGCGAGCCTTTAGATGAATGGTAGAATGAGTGGTTCCCCTGTATTAATGTAAAAGTTATGG